TCTCTCTTGCACGAGTTTGGTTCCATTCATTTACCCGTCTTCGGCTTCCTCCACTTTCTAATTATCCTTGCATTAGTGACGCGGGTCAATAACCGTCAACAGGCATCTCGACGTTGTCAACATCAGCCCGAAGTCGATTAGTGTCGAAGGAAGAGACAACTCAAAAGTCTGAGGCCGGATGAGGCGGAAGCCGGTGATTGTTGCCTTGGCAACATGTAATCCGTCACATCGGAAGATGATTGCTCAACACCGTTTGTCGACTCTACACGAAACGATAGAACTCTGAGACTTGAGCATAGCGAAACACCCTCCAGCCCGAAGAACACATCTCTCTTTGCGGCTAACTTCGAACCGTCGAACAGCAACGCGAATAAGCCCCATCTACCGACAACATATACCGGCGACTTTATGGCGGTCGGTCGAACGGAAACATCACAGACGCAAAAAGTCACTCTTTTACCCACCACTTGTCGAGACTGCTAACCTCACCTAATCGCGCTCGAGGGTGCCTAACTCGAGTCTGGTCCTTGCGACTAAATTCTTTGCACATTTAAGCCGCCTTGTGAGCAAAAATGGTGTTACGCCATTCCAGAACTTGGTTGTTGTAAATTGGCCCCCGACCGGAGGGAAATTACAAAAACTGAAATGGACTGTGGCTTTGACAAAGTGAAAGGAGGACGTTGACATTCTACCATTCTCCACATTCTGCGAACCTCGATCCAGGTACCTGTCCGTTCAGGCTAGTCGGTTGCCGACGGAGGTGTATCTGGGGTCGTCCATCGACGCGAAGGTGCCCAGATGACGTGTAAATTAGCTGAGGCCGGTCTTTCTTGGACCCACAAATGTTTATACAGGCTAAACCTCGTTGTGACCAAACTCATAGTAATGCACATTTTATATTGCTGTAATGAAATTTCGTTTCATCAGATAACGAAACAATCAATTTAACTGCAGTAAACAATACAATTATTTGTTATTATATATATATATCGAAATTTGCAGAATAACAAATAATTTTATTACTTATTGCAGTAATATACAAATATATACAGATATATATATATATATATATATATA